TCAATAAATTTAGTGTTTTCATTTTACATTTTCATTCTGGCTAAGCAATCAAGCAGAGCATTCCAAAATATAGTGTAAATATGATCTGCTGGTATGCTCATCTGGCTAGGCAATCTAGAAGGGCATTCCTAAATATAGTGTTAAAAATGCTCATCTGGCTAGGCAATCCAGCAGGGCATTCCTAAATATAGTGTAAAAATACTCTGCTGGTAAGCTCGGCTGGCTAAGCAATCTAGCGGAGCGTTTCAAAATATAGTGCGAAAAATGCTCCGCTGGTATGCTCATCTGGCTAAGCAATCTAGCAGGGCATTCCTAAATATAGTGTAAAAATGTTCTGCCGGAATGCTGAGCTGTCTAGGCAAACTAGCAGGGCATTTTTAAATAAAGTATAAATTTTGTTGGTCTTCAACTGATTATTTGGCACTCGTAGACTTTCTGAAATATTTAGTGCCAATGCAGATAATGACATTTTTGACTTCTACGGGACCCTCAAATGTCTATTTCTTTGGTCTCCGACTGATTCTGGGACGATCGCAGACTTTCAGGAATTTTTGGTGTTAATGCAGATAATGACATTTGTGAATTTTTAGGACCATCCAGAGTCCATTTCGTTGGTCTGCGAATGTTTCTGGAACACTCGCAGACTTTCAGAAATTTTCGGTGCCAGTGGAGATAATGACAATTTTGACTTCTACGGGACCCTTAAGTGTCTATTTATTTTACTATCCGACTGATTCTGGGACGATCGCAGACTTTCAGGAATTTTTTATGTTAATGCAGATAATGACATTTGTGAATTTTTAGGACCATCCAGAGTCCATTTCGTTGGTCTGCGAATGTTCCTGGAACACTCACAGACTTTCAGGAATTTTCGATGTCAAGGCAGATAAAGACATTTTAGAGTAAAGATGCTCTGCTTATGACTAAGGGGTCCTTTTAAACAAAAAATGTCATGATCTGCACTGGCACTAAACATCCTGAAAGCCTGCGAGTCTCGAAGAATCAGTCGCAGACCCAAGAAATGTACTCTGGCGGTTCCCTTGAAGTCAAAAATATAATTATTTCCATTCGCACCAACCAATCCTGAAAGTCTGCGAGTGTCCGAAAATCAGTCGCAGACAAACAATATGGACTCTTGAGGGTCCCTAGAAGTCTAAATTGTCAATATCAGCATTGGCACCAAAATTCCTGAAAGTCTGCGAGTGTCCATCAAAAGTCGCAGGACAATGAAATAGTCTCTTTAAGGTCCTTAAAAGTAAAAAATATCATTATTTCTTTTGGCACCAAAAATTCCTGAAAGTCTGCATGTGCCTCAGAAGTGCCAAGAGTCGAAAATGTCAATAAAACGTTGGCAACAATAAATCCTGGAACTGAGCATTCCAGCAGAGCTTATTAATACTATAATTCAGAATGCACCGCAAGATTGCTTATCCAACACAGCCTTTTCACACTATTTTTCAGAATGTTCTGCAAGGTTGCCTAGCCAGCTTAGCATTCCAGAAGAGCATTTTTACACTATATTTTTAAATGCCCTGCTAGATTGCCTAGCCAGCTTAGCATTCCACCAGAGCATTTTTTCACTATATTAAGTAATGCCCTGCTAGATTGCCTAGCCAGCTTAGCATTCCACCAGAGCATTTTTTCACTATATTAAGTAATGCCCTGCTAGATTGCCTAGCCAGCTTAGCATTCCAGCAGAGCATTTTAACCCTATATTTAGTAACACCCTGCTAGATTGCCTAGCCAGCTTAGCATTCCAGCAGAGCATTTTTTTCACAATATTTAGTAATGCCCTGCTAGATTGCCTAGCCAGCTTAGCATTCCAGAGACAGCTGAGTATTGCAGCAGAGCATTTTTACACTATATTTAGGAATGCCCTGCTAGATGCACAAAACAGCTGAACATTACAGCAGATCATTGACTTCCCTATATAAATTGAAATGCCTTTTTGCTTAGCTCACTGTTCACTGCTAACTTTTTTACCATTCCAATTTTCGAAAATTCCCGATTAATTAAGAAGCCATTTATTAATTTACTTACTGATTTACTTTACCATACCTTTGCTTAACTTTACTAAACTTTACTTAACTTAAATTTACATTAGTTTTCTTTTGTTTACTAAACTTAACTTTTCTTTACTATACTTAACTTTACTTAACTTTACTTTTCTTTACTCTACTCTACTCTACTCTACTTTGCCCTGCCCTGCCCTACCATGCCCTGCCATAGAAATAATAACCACAAGGCAACGGCTAATTTAAATGTTTTATTAAATTCCTTATAGCATCACATAAATTAAATTTCAAATTCGGAACATTGTTGCTTTTTTTTAGTTAAAGTTGATGCGTCTAGTCAGTTGAAAAAGGATCTGAAAATATAAAGTATTTTTTAGAAGTAAGTAGATAATATAGTTAATCATGTATTTCTGCAATACTTTGCAATGCATATTTGATTAGTCACGTGTCAGTAAAATTTCTTAAAGCTGCATCCTCTAGATGAACCAAATTATTTCCAGAAAATTAAGCTTGATAAAATATAATAATAATAATAAATGTACAAATATTCGCAATTCAAGAAGTAATTTAATTGTTACATGCAATTAATGACTGATTTTCAGCATTTGTCACCATATTTCTAGCTAGTCAAAATACACGAGATTAATCAGGACATGATACAAAATATAACACTATCTATAACATGTATAATACGGCAGGTAATAACTGTTCATCTTGGGTCTGCCAGCTCAATATTGTAATCTTGAGGCTATGGGTTCGATCCTCTGACGAGGCTAAGACTGACCCGGATATTGAGTCTTCTTGTCGCTGTATAGTTACAAATCACATGGGAATAGAAGCCAGTCTTTTGTAGAGAAATATACGAAAGACCGGGGAGGATTTTCAACTTCATGAATTCCCATTTTCATCTTCGTAAATTCACAATTTTAACTTCAACATATCGAATTCAAGAATTCAACTTCATGAATTCTATATTTCATCATCACGAAGTTGAAATCGTGAATTCATGAAGTTAATTGAACTCTTAAATTCATGATATTGAAATGGTAAATTCGTGAATTATGTATGTTGAATCGTGAATTTATGAAGCTGAAATCGTGAATTCGTGAAGATGTACCCGATAATTTAAGAAGTTTAAGTGTCACCACCAGTCTTTCGAAGAATAAGGTATTCACTAGTCAGTCCTCAGGAAAACTGGTTTAGCGGATCGAGAGCCGAGTTATAGCACATTGTGTTGAAATCGGCATAGAAATCAATCAATTAATCACACAACCAACCAATTAATCAATCAATCAATCAACCAGCCAACCAATCAATCAATCATTCAAATAAATAAATAAATCAAACAAACAGTACATCTTGAGTTACTCGAGAAAATAGATTAATGAAGTATTCGAGAATAATATTCGATGAGTTCTTACTATTAAAGTATTTAAGTATTCATTTAAAATGTTACCGTATCACTGATTACAACATATGTAGTTATATTGACAACCGCCACAAAGGCTTCTCTTTACAGACGACACCAAGTTGTTACAACCCGTATCTTCGAGGACACACGTATAAGCTCCTATTTTTAGAATTAAAAGTAGTATCTTAATAGTAAAACATAACTTTTATAATTTATATATAATGACTACAAAAAGTATTTTACGTATAATTATATACATACATTTATTCATAATGATATGCTAACAATGAATGCGTATGACAGGGTTTTACCAATATGTTTAACAGTGTAGTCATTGCAGTAGTTATGTACCCTTATTTTTCTACAGTATTCCTTTTGATTTTATCATTTATATATTTAGATACTTATTCATACATTGGTAACAAATAGTGTATGGTGAGGTGATGGTAATGGGACCCCGTATCATCGTCGTACTTGACGTTTACTTTATCCATTGATGAACTTCATGATATATATTTTGTGTGAGGCAGACGACTTTGGCGTAAAGATTTATATATCACAGAGAGTACTGTGCCGAAAATCGAGCTAGCCAGCTCTAAGTTCGAAATTTTGAAGTGGCAAACACATTGCTTGCACCGAATGAGATTGATAATCAAAGTTGTTTTTTAACAATTACATTGTGCTTTATCTTGGACTGTAATTGCATATTTCTTCCCTATGCAGACCTTCAGGAACCCGATGCCAGTCCAAAAATGACATTTATGACTTCTACGGACACTCACAAGAAGAATCTTATGTTTCAAATTCTTTCATGAGTTGTGTCCCTTTGTCAAATATTGTTTGCGAGATTCCTGCTTGAAAAGATGCTATCAATTAAATAGCAATATCAGTTCAGTATGGCCATTATTAATGTGCTGTAACTGCTTTAGATTTTTTTTTGAAAAATGGGATGTTCCAAAATCAAAACACGGCAATCGTATTTCTTAATCCCTGGTCTCGTATGGTGAATAATTAAAAAAACAACAGTGTTTTCATTTTACATTTGCAATGAGAAATAAAAGACCAACAATTATATATCTGTTTTTTGATATTTTAGTACAAGTATATAAATAAATATTTATATGTTTTATCATTTTTTTTATTTCTTTAATTGTTCGAAAGTGCCTGTTTTACTGGGTATTTAATCTAAATTCGAAATATCTATTTTTTTGCTGAAAAAATATATGGACTACTTTTTTGAAGTTGTAGACATGCTGTTAATATTGTTGTTTTAATATATTTTTTTGAAACATTTTATCGCAAATATAAAGTTTTATCATTCTAATTTTCGAAAAATCCCAATTAAGAAGTCATTAATTAATTTACTTACTGACTTACTTTACTTTATTCAAATTTACTTTACTTAAATTTACTTAACTTCAATTTACTTTACTTTTCTTTACTTATCTTAACTTTTTTTATTTAATTTTTCTTCACTTTACTTTACTTTACTTAACTTTACTGTACTTTACTTTACTCTACACTACTCTGCCCTGCCTTCTGCCCTGCCATAGAAATAATAACCACAAGGCAAGTGCTTATTCAAATGTTTTTAATAAATTCCTTAGATCATCATCAATTAAATTAGAATTTCAAATTCGGAACATTGTTGCTTTTTTATAGTAGAAGTTGATGCGTCTAGACAGCTGAAAAAGGATCTGAAAATAGAAAACAAAATTTTCAAACCTAACTAGATAATTAAGTTATGTATTTTTACAATACTTTGCAATATATACTTGTTTCATCACGTTACAGTAAGATTTCTTAAAGCATCACGCCTCCAGATTCATGCTAATTTCCATGAAAACGTATTTAAAAGTAAATTATTGCTAATTGAACAAAGAAAGGAATTACCACAATGCAAACGGCACTCAAGATCTCAGACATTTCCCCAAAATAGGTAAGAATATGCAAAATAGCCCTTACTGCGTTAGTCACGTAGTAGAAATATGGCGTTAAATACTGCAAATAAGTCATTAATTGCATATAAAATGTAAATTATTTCTTTGATTGTAATTTATTTAACATTTCTTAAAATCAAAAAATACTTTCTCAATGAAAGTTTTCTTGAAATAGTTTGGCTCATCTAGAGGCATACAGCTTTAGACTTGGTTTGTAATTTCGTTTATACCTTAAAAAATACGTTAACCCTTAACCTGCTGAATTTCTAAAATGAACTTTTCCAATTTCCATTTTGGAACAGTCCATTTTCAATTTTAGGTATTACAAGGTGAGAAATTGAAGTTGGCCAGCAGTATAGAGCCTGGTCAGACAGCACGGATGTAACTTCCGCCTCCAGCAGAGTAAAGGTTAAGTGTTAAAATGAGTCATTAAAGAGAAAGCTCATGCCATTAACCTTTATATGCTGTGGAAATTGCCATCTGCTGAAATGTCGGCTGCTGTACATTTTAATTCTATCCATTTATTTCGAAATCAAAAGAAGAATGATTGACAAACAACCTTGTGCTCTGGTCTGGGGCTAATCTAGTTGCATCGGTCTATGCAGGCTAAAATAAATCTGCATGCATCAAGAGAAGCCAAACTATTTTAAGAAAATCAACCTTGAGAAAAATGTTCTAAGATTTCTAGATATTATAAAAATATTCACAATTCAAGATTACATGACTGTTTTATGCAGTATTTGTCGCCGTAGTTCTCCTGCCTTACTAACGCAATAAGATATATATTTGCACATTCTGACCTATTTTTGTTAAATTTATTATATTTTGCAATGTGCAATGTGCAAATTACTTTCTTTATTCAATTAGCAATATCTTTTACTTTTGAATACATTAATTTTTTTTCATAAAATAAACATGACTCTGGAGGCATGCTGCTCCACAATAAAGTATCACAGTAAATAGTTCGAATTTTCGGATACTTTTAGAAAATTCTAATTTGACAGTATATCAAAAGTATCAAATTGTCCCAAATTGACCCTTATCCTAAACAACTAAATTGTCATCTTATTTGTGAAAAAAGGAAATAAAACACTTTTAAAATGTTAATGATGTCTCCAATACGACAGCGTACTGAATGACTGCTCGCGAAAACATGATTGACTGAAATAAACCAGGTTCGAATATTTATGAAAACAAATCTTGCCCTAAGACGTCTCAACAGAACCATTACTTGTTCAACGGACATGGCATATTTATAACCATCTTCTGTTACACAAAATCATATGTAATTTTATTAACATAAATAATCATTCATATGTTCTTTTTCTGTCATATGTTGCTAGTGATGTTTTTGATATTTTCAAACTTATGCAAGTGACTAATTATAGCAGCATATACGACGCATGCGCCGTCATTGAAACTAGCATTCCTAGTCAGATTAAACTGGATACGATGCAAAATACAAAACAGATTAGCAAGATAATACATGTTATTACTGTTCATCTGAAGTCCGCCGGCTCAATATTGTAATCATGAGGTTGCGGGTTCAATCCTCTGGCGAGGCTTAATCCGTAACCATTGAGCCGTATATTGAGTCTAATGGTCCGCTGCATGGTGACAAATCATATGGGATTAGTCGCCAGTCATTTGCAGAGAAATAAGTGACCACTAGTTAGTTTTCCAGGAAAACCGGTTTGGTGGACCGACGGCCGGGCTAAGACCCATTGTGTTCAAATCGGTAAATCAATCAATCAATCAACCAATCAATCAAGCAAGCAAGCAAACAAACAAACAAACGTTACACCTTGAGCTTACTTTTTGATTTACGTGAGAAATATTTAAGTAAACGAAACTAATATTCAGAGCGACTCGATGATTTCTTATGATATAGTATCAAAGTATTCATATAAATCTGTACCGTATCATCGTTTTGCCTCACTGATAACAGCATATGAAGCTACTTTCACAACCGCCACAAAGGTTTCTTTTCACAGACGGAATCAGGTTGTCACAACCCGGATCTTCGGGGACACACGTGTACGCTGCTGTAGTGCTCGCTTTTTCTTTTTTGGCCGCCTCTATATTTAGAATTATAAGATATAACATTACTTAAAATTTACATACATGTCTTATGTTTACATTTTTTTTTGTAAATACTTATATGCATACATTTATTCATAATGCGCATTACAGGGTGTTGTCATGAAGTCTATGGCCCCGTTATATATTTCACAACGCCGCTAAATGTCGCACATGCCGCTAAATGTCGCACATGCCGCTAAATGTCGCACCATCGCCGCTAAATGTCTCAAAATCTTCTGTTAAATGTCGCAATGGGCACGGTGTCCTTGTCGTGAAATGTGGCAACACTACCGTTTCATGTCGCATTCAAAATTAAAATTGAAGATTTATAAATTCCAGAAAAAATCCAATAACTCTGTCAAAACAAAGACATGACCCTCAGAAAATTCGAAAATGACTTCAGATTGACGGTTGATCTACTGTAAACATAGACATGAAAGCAGACATTTAAAACAGAAATTAAAGCTGAAGAATGATATATCTAGTCGTGTATGTGATATGAATCTAGATCTTGGGCTATAGTACATCTCCAGATTCATCTTAAGAAACTATCAGGCAATTTGAATGTATTTTGTACATTACAACAAATCCTTTCTTATCTGATGGATAGCTAGTCCCTAGTAACTTACAGAACGTTAATATTGACATAATACCAGTTATTTAACATGAATTTAGTTATTGCGACATTTACCGTTAGTATTGTGACATTTTACGGAAAGGGAAAATGGCCTTTATTGCGACATTTAACGTCAAAAAAGTTTAAACATTTAGCGGCGGCTGCGACGTTTAGCTGCAATATCGCGATATTTAGCGACAATAGCGCGGAATTTAGCGGTAAGTGCGACCTTAAGCGCCGATACGACATATAACGGCACCACAAAGTCATTACATTAGTTACTTACTTAACGTAATGTACCCTGTTACACAACATTGTATATTTAAAAGTAAATGATTTCAACTTAATCTTTCAATTGAATGCCCACTTATAACAATACAAATTTACGTATAATACAAAAATCAAAATTTTAATGAACTTTTATGTGCCAACTTACCGGAAATAAAATTGCGCGCCTTTCAATATCTCCTTTTTTTCAGAGTTATGGCTCTTTTTAAAAAAGCACGTGCCACTAGAATCTTTTAAACCAATTACAAATTAGAAGTCAAAATACTACTTTATTTACAATTTGTTACTTTTATAACAAATTATTTCACATTTATCGCTACGTTTTCAAGTTACAAACATGTTACAATTCTCTGAAACCACCAATTAAACATTATAAAACTCCATTTTACCCCTTTCTAAAGAAGTAAATATTTATTTGTTTCTGATACATAATGTGCCTTTAAGGGCAAAACTTTTGTTCTGTTCGGAATTTAACCATTGCGTTGTAGTCTGCGTGCTTTGGAAACTACTCACATTAACCTAGATCATAAATGTGCCACGGCTACCCATATATCATCATTAATTTAAAGGCCCATTATGCCCCAGAAATGCTATCATTTAATTTCTCAAAAACTTTTTTTCATTTTTGGTATCTTGATACAGTCTCTAAAAATACTATTTTTTTAACATAGATGAACTTTTTTTTACTTTTTAGTTCTGTTGGCAATCGGTATGGTCATAGTGAATAAGTATTTTATATGGCAGTCAAAATACTATTTTGTTTTCATTTCACTACATTTTCGTAATTACTGAAAATTCAGCGCAAATTTTCTTTCTTTAGGTTTTAAAACATAATTATCTGCTCCAAATGCAATACTAAACATTTATATTTTTAACACAAGTTTGACGTTCCTAAAGAATTACAAAAATATGGCATAATGTGCCTTTAATTAAAAAGAAAGAAAACAAAAAACTTACCAACACCGATATTGTAAACAGAAGACACTGTCAAAATTCCAATTATTAGGACCAACATTACGAATTTTGTATCCATTTTTCCTCTTAAATACCCTTAACTATTTATTGAATCGTAAAACGTAATATGTGATAACGAATAATTCACGCCACGAAATGAAAATTGTCGTGGTAAAATATGTATCATCTGGACACTTAATTAAGATACGCTCAGTTGTGAATTTATTCTGACATTTTCAATAATTATTCGAACAGCTGAGGGTTTGTTTTTTATATTTTGTACATTGAATATCGTCAGAGATGATAGTTTATGATTAATATACATGTTAGTATGACACATTATAGATATACAGTGAAATCTGTGAACAAAGATCTCTCAAGGTAAAGACAAAAACATGGTCTTCATAGGCAAGTGGTCTTTATTTGGAGGTTACATTATTCAATTTCTGTCATTTGAAGGTGATCAAAGAGTGGTCTTTGTTTACAGGGTAATCTTTATTCTGAGTTGATCTTTTACATAGGTTTTACTGTACTGACATTTTTTGTATACTATATGTCTTCTGTAAAAAATTATCACTTGTCGGATGTGAATAATTATTCAGTGCTTGGCGGTTCTCGGAACCTTGCTTTTTCTATATTCTGGTACAAAGATCTGTTAATTGTTGCGACTGTTTCGTCTTAACACCACTTTTTATCTAAACGAAACTTGGCCGAAAGGTTTATTGGCTAACTTCGAATGACCTACACCTCAGCCCTGTGGGTTCGAATCCTGCCAGGGACTTTTGATTTTAGTATCTGAAAGACTATCTAACTAGGATACTGAAGGTCGGTGGGTCTAATCATACTCACTCTGCCTAAAGAAGACACCTTAGTGTTCCTTCACCTGTAAAGCTTCGGTGTTTTTGCCATCATAACACCCCCGTCCACGCTCTAAATGGGTATCGTATTCTCACAGACCGTTCGTCCGTCCGTCGGGATTTGCGATACCTCCTTCTGGTTATTTTATAATATAAAATCATAACATCTGAGATGATAAAGCACAGATAGTATGTTTTATATATATTTATTTCTATTACTTTAAACTGTTAAAAAAAAAGAAAATTGACACTTTTGATTAACAATTGTACTGTTAGAAAAGTGCATTCAGTGATTCATTTGATGATTCATTTTTTTATAAACCTCACTGCGACATGGTTCTCGAAAACTTGTTTTATACTAAAGCGAGACTAACCAATGGTTGATATATATTTTTCTTACATCTGGAGTTATCTTCCCTTGCTCAACTGTTCTAGGGATAAGGTTCACCGAAGTATCCAGTGAGTATGTGAAAACTTACAAGCACATAAAGCACTAACGCAATGATCAGCAGATAATTTATCACTGCCGGACAATAAACGACCAAAGCGTTTGGTTTTTCTTTCCTTCCGGTGAGATTGTTCGATGTTTCCGGCAATGCTCGCCGAAACACACGTGTCCCGAAGCAATCCAACAACTCTTTATTGATTGGGACAATGGTACATGACTCGTTCTTGTATGGTTTACGTGATCTTTGTAATGTATGAAACATGTCTAACATATCTCGAAGCCTGTTGTACCTAACTTCCGACCGGAAGAAGTTTGGTGTGTGAACTACGTCGGTTAGAAGCTGAATATTCTTGCTGGATTTAATATCCTTGAGAAATGTCAGAATATCAATAACACACGGCGTGAGACTTAAACTATTCGGATCATGTTTGCATACATAATGGTGGTTAATCATCCCTACCTTGACCATATACGAGGACATAATACCTGTATTGTATCGCCATAAACCTGTTTCTACGAGTTTTTCGTAAATTGCGTCCGTATATTTTCTTCCTCCAATCAAATGTTTTACTATACGGTAAACTTTCAAGTGTCGTCTGCTTAGTACATTTTTCATAAACGTCACTTCCGACTGCGAGAACCATACGAGCCCAGATACAATCAAAACACTTCCGGTTCTAGCTACTTCCGACGAAACGAAAGGAGATTGGCAAACATCATCGTTTTCACGTAGCCCAGGAGTTTCATACACTCGGAAAGCCGGTATAATATTAACGTTAATGTAAATGGCGTTCCCAAACTCATTCTGATAAATGAAACGTAATTTGGAAGCCTTTTCGTCAATGATAATATATTCGTCGAAAACAATTGACCTATAACCTTCCATTTCACCAAGGTTGATCATATCCTCTTCCGCCACCATTCGGTCCCTGTTATCCTCCATAAAATAAATACTTCGTATTTTAGAGGAAACCTCGCGCAGTGCATTGTGGACGAAATTGTCTCTGTCCCTGTAATGAAGGTCAAACAAAACATTATACCTTGCATCTTCATACCGTACTACGCTGCGCGTGATCCTGTCACTTTTGAAACTACCAACGACAAAAATAAAATCAAACTCGTTCGGGAATTCATTAAGTGCACCTTCATAAAAGCTTCCGACTTTCAATATCCCATCATCCTCGGGGTTATCTTCAACTATATCAAGTAAATAATTAAATGCTGCTTTCACCTTTACAGTTTCTTGTTTTAGAGCGTCACCTTGTTCAAGACGAGTGACTCGAATTAGTTCTTTCACCAAGGTTTCAACACCAGTTTGAATCAACTCTGCTTCCTCCTGGTCGATCTGAAACACAAGTCCTTTGTCATACAGGTCTTCGAGATAGTTATCGAGATTCGACTTCCGTTTCCGGTCAGTTATTGAACGGGTTTCGTCTTTTTCTGCGGCTAACAATGACTCTTGCTCTTTACTTTCTTCTGTTGCCTCTACATACTTTACATCAGTTAAAACATACTCGTTTTCTTTTAGTTCCGTAGGTACAGCTTTCAGTTCAGTATTTAATTCATTTGTATCCGTCCATATACACTCATAAGACATTGTTTGCCAACACGACTAATCAGTGTTTAATTTTAGTGTTTACTGTCGCATATTTCTCTATTTTCATTCCAATAGTTTATTTAATTGGCAAACTATATATTGCGTTCCATTCATTGTTACATGTTAACTAATACATAACAAGTCATGTATGATGTGTTAATGTAAATATATGTACTCGATAACTAAGCTAAAAAGGTATTCTATGTATACAATTCACAGTTGCCATCCGCTGGACATTTGTCAAAATTGGCAACTGAAAAATGTCATCGGCATCTGATTTATCATGAAAGACACATATCAGAAAAAAAGCTCGTGAAACTTCGGTATAATTCGTCGCTTTTCGTTTGCTTCATACTGCTGAACAAAATGTTAATCGATAACAATCAATATCAAGGTTATATTGTTTTGAATACATAAATCCATTTGCTTTAGATTAATAAAAAGATAAATAATTTCATGGCCTTTTAAATCAATATATTAGGTAAAAAATGAATCAATATACATATTAGTCGATATCAATGAATAAAAATTAATATAAGTCGACATAATGTTACGTAATTGAAATATTTATCTGGCTTTACATCTTCTTTTTAATATAATAAATATAAAGTAGTTTTTCATAAGACTTATATTCAAGCTTTTTCATTTGTGCCCTTATTAACATAGTAACAACAGAATGCTGGCACGAGGCTTGAGTTAAGGATGCCTATATTGCCGTGTTTGAACGGAATGCCAAATTAAATGTATGAAATATTACACTCTTCATCAAATTTTAAGACACATTATGGCCCTGTTTATTGGCCAATGAGTAAAAATTTTAAAAAATATAACCGGACATCAAAATAAAAAGGTTTAAAAAAAAAGAAAATTAAAGCATTTTTGAGGCATAATGGACCTTTAAGATACATGTAGTTGTATTAGTGAATGTTATACAAGTACATTATTTCTTTAAAGGCCTTTCATGCCCCAGATGCTTTAACTTTATATCTCAAAACCTGTTTATTTTTGGTGTCCTGTTAAAGCTTTTAAAAAAGCACTCATTGGTCAATTACCTGACCCTGTTTTGCTTATGTTGCTTTTCGGCAATAAGCACAGTTACAGCGATTTAGTATTTTGTTTGGAAGTCAAAATACTACATTGTTTACATTTTTCTATTTCCATGAAAAAATGATTTAATATTCATTGCAATTTTCTTCCGGCGATAAGCATCGTACCATCATTTAAACGTTGTAAAACTCATGTCCGCCCTTTGTAAAGAAGGAAAAAAGTAAATCGTGTTTAAGCATAATGTGCCTTTAATAATAAGATTAGCGTATCCTTTAAATGATTCTTACAGGAGTGTTATATATGGAGATACAGCAAAACTTCTTTCATGTAGGAAATGTTAAATGTACACAGGTTAAGTATGTGAATATATTGACATTTTAAACATTCTTTAATATCACACGCTACACGGTGATTTAGGCATGCTGATTGATATAAATGGCATGGGATGATAAGTCTTGACGCTATTATTGTATATGCCTTACACGAGTTGTTTCCCTTTATTAAAAAAAACCGTCTAGGACAGTCCATCAAATTATTTGTTCTAGTAAAATCCCTTTGATAAATAATGGAACGTTCAACGGTCCATATTAAAAAATATGGCAAGCTGATCAGTCAGTAAAGGTTAAATGACAATTACAGTAACTATTAGCCAACTATGTGTCATATTTTAGAACATAATAACATATATTATATATTAATGTCCTTGTTATTTTCCTAACTTGTTTTATAATTCGGAGGTGATTGCCTCACTGTGAGATAGATCAGCGTTTCTTATCTATGTTACAGACCCTACATTTTTACAATCTCGTAAACGAAACAAATATTTCTACAATCATCCTTCTAACTGATTGTTGCTGTCAAAATACGTGCCAACATTCTGCCATATTTGTTATCTAAGCTAGATATATGCTGCAACATTGATGTTGTTGGTGGTGGTAGTTTTCTCTCCGGATCACGGCAGTAGGCCACAATGAATTTACTAGAGCACAGTTCAACCACCGCGTCGTCCCTTGGCAGGCTGTCAAGCTGAGCAGTGTATCAGTACTACTTGCCTTCACTTGGGTTGCCACAGTCCAACGCTCTACCTATTGAGCTAACCGGAAAACTCGCTTAAACACTGATCTATTTCTTAATCTGTCTGTCCGTCCGCCCGTCCGTCTTTCTTTCCTCATTTCTTCATTAATTAATTAATTAATTTAATTAATTTAATTCATTCATTCATTCATTTACTTATTTACTTATTTGCGCATTTTTTA